GGAGTACCGATTAGGGAGTTTGTAGACTGTTCCTCAGATTGGGTTTGTCAGATGTTTTTCTCGTGACTTGACTGGGGTGATGGGTGTTTGGAAAGAATACGATAGGGGTGAAGTGCCCTTCTCATCACCTTATATCAGGGCCACTTGCAGTCCACATGACATCACCAATGATAAAAAAATTTTTTACCTTTTATTACGGTAAAAACCATATAGGCTTATCATAGAAAATTAGAGAACCAGTTAAGCAAAAATAAGGAAATAAAAACAATATTCCCAACACCCAGAGATGATCATAGCTAACATTTTAATTTTTAATCTTTCCAGATCTTTTTCTCTTTAAAAAAAATGTATTTGGGGCCAGCCCGCTGGCGCAGCAGTTAAGTGCACACGTTCCACTTCTTGGCGTCCCAGGGTTCACCAGTTCCTCAAAAAAAAAAAAATATTTTTTTTGCCAAAATGAGATCATACTGTATATACTATTTTATAACCCGCTTTAATGACCGGTCTTCATCTTTCATGTTTGTTTTCATTTTTGACTTATGTAAATAGACTATCTATTCAAAACATAATATTAAATTTTAAAAAGAAAGAGCAATTCAATCAATCTTCCCAATATAAAAAACAAATCTGGGGGCCGGCCCAGTGGCGCAACAGTTAAGTGCACACGTTCCACTTCAGTGGTCCCAGGGTTCGCCAGTTCAGATCCTGGGTGCAGACATGGCTCCGCTTGGCACGCCATGCTGTGGTAGGCGTCCCACATACAAAGTAGAGGAAGATGGGCACGGATGTTAGCTCAGGGCCAGTCTTCCTCAGCAAAAAGAGCAGGATTGGCAGCGGATGTTAGCTCAGGGCTAATCTTCCTAAAAAAAAAAAAAAAAATCTTGCATCTGTATATTCAAAGATCACACATTGTCTCAGAAAAATTAATGACAAAAAAAAAAACTACACTAAGACATGGCTTAGTAAAGTTATTGAAATTCAAGGTGAAATTAAGTCTTCCAGGCAAAAAGATAAAAAATTTTAATATGCATACATTGAAGGAATATATGTTCTGTGATCCTTTTTCGAAAAATATACTAGAAAATGAACTTTAGTCAACCAAGAGATGAATGGAGACAACCAGACCAAAAGGACTCATAGAGAATATGAAAGCCATTTTATTTTATTTGAGGCCTGGGGCTTTTTAAAATGTGAAAATTTATTATTATAGAATGGAATGAAAATATTATAAACCTAGAAATGCATAAATTTTATTATAATAGTTGAGAAAAAAGGAGGAGTAAAGATGAAAAGTAGAGGGACCATGCCAATTTCATAAAAAGAAATGAAAAGCTGATAAATCAAGTAATAGAAGTATAAGTATATTTAAAGATATAAATGCAAACACTATGGAATACAACGCTGTGGATACTATGTGTAGATACTATGGAATACAAGAATACAATTACATGGAACCTGGAAGGTGGGAAGACAATGGAGATGGGGGCAGGAAAGAATTGAATATAAATTTACTTCAATATTGCTCAGAGTAGGGAGTCAATAGATACTGTCTAATAAAGACAGAACAAGGTATAGTATATAAAGTTGTGCTTACAAAAATAACTACTATATCTAAAATAGAAGTCTTCCAAATATACCCATACACTCATGAAGAAAATAGTTCATATAGTAAAAGTTTATTTTTAAGCTATCAACAAAAAGCTATTTTAAAAGTTTTAATCACGTTTTAAAAAATGTTGAGGCCAGCCCTGTGGTCAAGTGGTTAAGTTCATGCGCTCCACTTCAGCGGTCCAGGGTTTCACCAGTTTGGATCCTTGGTGTGGACATGGCACCACTCATCAAGCCATGCTGGGGCAGCATCCCACATAGCACAACCAGAAGGACCCACTAGAATATACAACTATGTACTGGAGGGCTTTGGAGAGAAGAAGAAGAAAAAAAGTTATAAAAATGTTTGTAAAGTATAATAGCAGAACTATGACCAAATATATTTGTCATAGCAAGAAAAAGAAATTGGCTAAATTCATCTATTAAAAGAAAATAGATTTTACGATTGAATCACAAAATAAAACATACCAATTATATGACATAAACAAGAGACACATCTCAAACAGTAACTAAGAAAGGTTGAAAATGAAAGAAAGGGCACAGGAGCACTAGGAAAATGCAAAAGGGAACCACAGTCTAAGTATTAGACAAGACAGAATTCAAAGTCAAAACTGTAGGGGAGGAAGACAATTCCTTTACCCACTCTAGGTCCTTCTGGCTGACCTAAGAATTAAAGTGACACGAGACAGAATAACAAGAGAAAGTCAAACAAAGCTTCATAACACGTATACATGGAAGAAACCCAGGAAACTGGGTAACACGGCCACATGGCCAAAGCTCTTAGTTTAAATATCTTCAGCTAAAGACAAGGAGGATGTTGGGGGTAGTGATTTGGGATTTTAGAGAAGAGGAAGACAATTTACATGGAGATGGAAATGCAGATGTTTCTTAACCAAGTTTTTCTGGCTAAAAAATGGGTTTGTTGGTGCCTTTTTATTACACCTATTTTACATTATACTATAGTTATGTTATGGTATTAGCTCCATCCTGGAACAGGCCTCCTTTCTTTCTTTTTTTCTTTTTTTTTTGTAAGAAAGATTGGCCCTGATCTAACATCTGATGTCCATCTTCCTCTATTTTGTATATGGGACACTGCCACAGCATGGCTTGATGAGCAGTGTATAGGTCTGCACCCAGGATCCAAACCCACAAACCCTGGGCTGCCCAAAGTGCACAAAGTTAACCACTATGCCACTGGGCTGGCCCGTGGAACAGGCCTTCTATGTTAAATTCTTTTAGGCAGTTTGAGGGAAGGTCAAATGTTCTTCTGAGCCTTCTGAGACATTATTGTCTTTAGCTTGAAATAATTTGCATACCAGAGTGGTGCCCCTTGGGGCAGCCTGACCTGAACCCCAACAGATCCCTCCTCTGAAACTTCTCTGGAAGTTTCACGTATCAAAAGCTGAGCAGGTAGATTGCTCCATCTCACTGAACATATTTCTCAGTTCTGATAATAGGTCATCCAGTTAAATTCATTTTAGAAGGTGGTGATGCAGATGGGCTCCCAAAGTTAGGCCTATATTGTGGAAGCAAACAATCAGGTATTTAATAAGAAGCATTTCCATGGAAACAAAAAGAAAAACAAGGTTAATGGTTGGAGCAAATTATAAGCCAGTTTTTGAGCCCAAGGGGAAACCTGTCAAGAAAATTTTTAGACATCAGGGTTGAAGCATCTTTTGCAGCTTGAAATGTTTCTGATGATGTCATTGAGTGTTCAGGTATCCTTTTGAGTGGCTTACATAGCAACACACCTGCTATCATGGTGATCTTTGCAAAGTTTATAAGAAGTTATCCAGCTTCGGTTTGCAGGGCTTTAGGAGTAAGGGTGGTTTCAGTTCTCAATGATTTCAAATAAAAATGATGGAAAAGAAATTGAAAATGTTAGTTTGGAGATTTGTAGTTAGATATTTCAGGAGACCAGAAGAATTCAGGATCCAGTCCAGTTTACAGGTAGAAAACAAAAACCTCAAAGACAATTAACAGAACTAGGATCTAATATCCACAAATATGTACTATAGTTTCTACTGAGACATAATTTCTCTCTCTAAAATCACCCTCCTTTTTACCAAAGATAGCCAAATTAAGACTGGTTTGTAAAATAAGTCTAGTTTCAATAAATTTGGCCAAATTATTTACATAGGTGCAGCAAGAACAGCAATCAATCATAATGGCTTCTTTAAACCTGCTTTGCTGGAACTTTTTATAAGGAATCTCAGATTGAACTTTAAAGGCCTCTCAAAGCCAGGAAAGCCAAGGCAAGGACTTTGTCCTCAGACTTTGCCTGCAATACCTACAGACTTGAGTGAAGTTCTCTCTTCTTTTGAGGTTTCCCAAAACATTGGGGTTTCTTTGCACCTGCCAGATAAGTGACCTTCTTTACATACTCAGTAAGGTTGCTGGGAACCCTGTAAATAAGGTACCAGGCCAATATTTCTGGGTGGCTTTATTTCATAAAGTCCAACCTTTGCTTTTCAAAAGCTGTCTTGTCATATCTGAGTCTATGTATGTTTCTCTCAAATATGACATTCCAGTCAAAGCTTTGGTAATATAACCAATATTTCCAATTGTGTCCTGTTATAAGGAGAACAGATTTTTTAAAAAAAATTTTTTGAGGAAGATTAGGCCTGAGCTAACATCTGCTGCCAATCCTCCTCTTTATTTTTGCTGAGGAAGACTGGCCTTGGGCTAACATCCATGCCCATCTTTCTCTACTTTATATGTGGGGCGCCTAGCACAGCATGGCATGCCAAGTGGTGCCATGTCCGCACCCTGGATCTGAACCGGTGAACCCCGGGCTGCCAAACTGGAATGTGTGAACTTAACTGCTGTGCCACCGACTGGCCCCAGGAGAACAGATTCTAACTGAACTTATGCACATAACTATATTGCCCTGAAAATAACAATACTTACTCACTAAGAGTTTCCAAATTCTGGAGGGATCAGTTAGGGAGAAAAAAGACAAATGTTTCAATTCTGTTTATAAAAGTATAATTTACCAAATTTCTATAAGTCATAGCTTAAGAGAAAAGAGAAAAACATTTCCTTAAATCTGAAAAAAACAAAACATTAAAAAAATCAGCAACATTTCAAATGAAAAGTCGTAAGATTTATAATCATCTTCATCAGTTCTTCCAGTCTCATATATATCAACTCTTTTTTTGTTAAAGATTGGCACCTGAGCTAACATCTGTTGCCAATCTTCTTTTCGTTTTTTTTTCTTCTCCTCAAAACCCCCCAGTACATTGTTGTGTATTCTAGTTATAGGTCCTTCTGGCTCTGCTATGTGGGATGCCACCTCAGCATGGCTTGATGAGCAGTGCCAGGTCCACACCCAGGATCTGAACTGGTGAAACCCTGGGCCACTGAAGTGGAGCATGTGAACCTAACCACTCAGCCATGGGGCCAGCCCCCATATAATCAACTTTTGATCTTGCTCTTTTCTTAGCAGTTTCATGAAGTCATCAGTTTCTCCATTAGAGTTCTGTAGTTTCTTACCCAATTCCGTTTTATGATCTGAAACTTTATCAGAAAGCTGCATTCCAGAGTAAATGTCAGAGTCCCTTCTGTGAATCTCTCTGAAAATGAAATATATTTTCAAAAGCCTCAGAATAAAACAATAACTGTCTGTAAATGACAAAAGGCTTAAAAATGACAATTAATAAAGAACCTTGCTTATTTCTGTGACATTCAACCCTTTAAGATAATAACTAGAATTATGACTGACAACCAGGAGAGATTAGAATTTTTGGAATGTTATATAATTATTTATTTATTTATTTATTTTTTAAAGATTGGCATCTGAGCTAACAACTGTTGCCAATCTTGTTTGTTTTTCCCCTGCTTCCTCTCCCCAAATCCCACCAGCACACAGTTGTACATTATAGTTGTGGGTCCCTCCAGTTGTGGCATGTGGGATGCCACCTCAGCATGGCCTGGTGAGCAGTGCCATGTCCGTACCTAGCATCTGAACTGGCAAAACTCTGGGCTGCTGAAGTGGAGTGTGTGAACTTAACCACTCGGCCATGGGGCTGGCCCCTGGAATGTTATATAATTTTTAAAACATTTACATCAATAACATTTACCCACACAATATCATAGGTCCCTAAGAAACAACGTTTAGTTATCACCTTAACCATGGTAACAATTAAAGAATTTTAGGTCAATGTAGAGAATAGCTGTTAAGAAGAACCTTAATACCTGTGGTTAAAGACCTTATAAATACAATATAAATTTACTTTGATAAAACACAAAATCCCTACCCTTCTGGTAGACTACTCAAAGAAAAAAAAACTTTCATAATCTCTTTACCAAAAGCAGACTAAAAGTTTAAGAAAATTATCCTTTTTTTTTTTTTTTGAGGAAGATTAGCCTTGAGCCACCAGGCTGGCCCTCGAAAATTATCCTTTTAAGAGACAGGGAAAAAAATAAATTCTAATTTTGCATTAGCTTGCTTTTGATATTAAAACTTATTTACTGGGGCTGGCCTGGTGGTGCAGCAGTTAACTTCACATGTTCCACTTCAGTGGCCCAGGGTTCGCCAGTTCAGATCCCGGGTGCAGACATGGCACCACTTGTCAAGCCATGCTGTAGTAGGCGTCCCACATATAAAGTAGAGGAAGATGGGTATGGATGTTAGCTCAGTGCTAGTCTTCCTCAGCAAAAAGAGGTGGATTGGTGGCAGATGTTAGCTCAGGGCTAATCTCCCCCCAAAAAAAACTTATTTACTTAATTAAATTCATTTTAATTTTAGCCAACTTGACCATGCACAAAACTTTAGAAATAAATTTTTTTCACAACCTTTCTATAACTTTCTTTTACATTTAGATTTTTGTCCCTTGCTTTCTTTCTTCCCTTCTAATAGTTTAGGACAAATTTATCTTTCTTAACAAAACAAACAAAAATATTTTCATTCTTTATACCTTCTTTATTGAAAAAATACATCTTACTTTCCTTGAATAATAATGTTTTTCTTATTAATTTCCCATAGCTTTAATCACCTATTAGAATTTTTGACCCTTAGAAACCCTAATTTTTAAGTAAAAAGTAAGAAGTAAGCAATTACAAACTGTCTTTTATGTTAGCATTCTGTGGCTTGACAAATTTACAGATACTTTTTATAATTTTTAGAAATGTGTTATTTATAGTACAATCTTTTAATAAAACACAAGACATTGGGCCAACAGACCCAAACACTTTTTAGTTTCTCTGTAATAAGACAAAAGTAGGTAAATTTATATTTAGTAATTAATGTCTAATTTTATCTTATTTAGAAATAATGTAGATATTCAATGAATTTTCCATCATTTAATTGAGCAAAACTTCAAAGTTTCAAGTTCCTAAAGAGAGTTCGGAAGTTATTAAATGTGTGTCATAAAATATAATTATTGTTAAAAGTTTAAACTCTTATCTTATTTACATCTAAATTATTTGTTCCTGACAATTATCTTTAGATTATCTAAGAAAACTTCATGAGATATTAGAAAAATCAGCTATCATTTTAAGTTGTTATGCTGACAAAGTTGTGACAGGGATACCATGAGCTTATTTAACTAGTAAACCCAGAGTGCATGTCTGCATCATACCCATTGTTGATTATGTTAAGGACATGTCCATTTTCATCAAATCAACAATCTTAAATAAGCTTTCATTTACCAAAGATTATTTCATATCATGTTAATTTGAAAGACGTTTGGGTTAATTCCTATTACATTTAGAAATAATGTAAGCACTTACTTTATAAGCCAATTAAACAGAGCTCTTGATTTTTGGCCATACTCTCTGGAGGTGAAATATCACACGTACATAACACACATATAGACACACATACACAAAGACTTTATAGCTATTGTTTTAAAACTTTAGGACAATGTGCCACAGCTCTAAAAGTCTGCACAAAGCATTTAACAAAGGGCCTTCTTTTCTAAATGTACAATTTAACCTTAGACCAATTTACCTTGCAGGGCGGGGAGGTTTTATTATCTTTTTTATTAGCACCCGATATTAGTCTCTAGTTCTTATCTCATACTTGGAGCCAAATTAATACCTAGTTTTTATCTCATACTTGGAGCCAAATTAATACCTAGTTTTTATCTCATACTGTGTGGGCTCAGGCAGCCCTACTGACCTCCCTTTTGTAAGTTTAATTACCATTGTCTGAAGGGCAGATTTATACGCTGTCTTACGATCAGGCAGGGGAAACCTTCCCCAGTGAGTCACAATGTTTATCCCCACAATACAATCTACAATATAATCATGCAAAAACAGAGGCAATCACTACACATAAAGCCCCTAAATATATCAATTTTCTACAAAATTTCATCTGATTTTCATCAACTCTTATACCTCTAATCACAGCTTTCATTAGGACTTTATCAATAGGTCTTGGTCTTATAATTTTGGACAGGGGTAGCATTCCCAGTCAGATATTTTAAAACATACTCAGACAAAGTTGATATAACCTCTTTATATAAAATTAGCTCAAACATTTCAACCTTTATAATTTTATGAATATTTATACATTTACATTTTCTCAATTTAATTGTAGCCTGAGTTAGGGTGTTAAGCTAGTCATTATTTTTTTATTTCCTTTTTTTTTTTTTGAAGATTGGCCCTAAGCTAACATCTGTTGCCAATCTTCCTCTTTTTTTTTTCTCCCCAAAGCCCCCAAGTACATAGTTGTACATCCTAGTTGTGGGTCCTTCCAGTTGTGCTATGTGGGACATCACCTCAGCATGGCCTGATGAGCCATCTAGGTCCATGCCCAGGATCTGAACCGGTGAACCCTGGGCCACCAAAGCAGAGTACACAAACTTAACCACTTAGCCACAGGGCCAGATCTCTATTTCCTGTTTTAATTTGGCCTTTTCATAGGTATCAATAAAACAATTAGGATGAGAGCTCTCACAATATTTGTTTTTCCAATTTAGAAGTTTTTCCAATTTAATTATTTATTTATTTATTTATTTTCCTTTTTATCCCCAAAGCCCCCCAGTACATAGTTGTATATTCTTCGTTGTGGGTCCTTCTAGTTGTGGCATGTGGGATGCTGCCTCAGCGTGATTTGATGAGCAGTGCCATGTCCGCGCCCAGGATTCGAACCAATGAAACACTGGGCCACCTGCAGCAGAGCACGCGAATTTAACCACTCTGCCATGGGGCCAGCCCCAAGTTTTTCCGATTTAAATGATCCATCATCTGGCCACATTGATGAGTAGGACCTTAACAGTGACTCATACCAATAAGCTTAACCATGGATGCAAGAGGCATCCCCAAAAGAGATCCAGAAAGTTCACTCCCAAAAATAGTCTAAGAAAGCAAAGGCCATCATTGCACAATAAGCGACAAAGGTTGAGATGACAAAGGCCCCTAATGAAAGCAAATGGGGTCCCTTATGATAAACTCCCCTGAGAGCGGACATAGCAGGACAAAGAGAGTGCGTCTCAGAACCCCAGTCTACTTGACTGACCACCAAGATGCATGCTGGTACATGCATCCTCTGGATGGTGGAGACTAGAAAGGTCACAAGGCCAAGCTCTCAAGACATAGAACAAGACAAAAGAGAAAACCTCATCTGACATGCACATTATCAGCTTTAGCTAAGCCTTGGATCTCTTGGAGCCAGACTAATACCTAGGAGGGAGGTGCCATGAGGTTGGGGATCATGTGTGCTTTACAGAGTACCTTGTCATTGCACAGACATTTTCTTGAAGTTGACAGGGGGATCTGTGTCATCCACCTCATTCCATGACCAACTCATCCTTTCATGGGAGACTTCTTGAGGTGGCAAGCACCCTAATGGTTCTTAACTGCTCCACCCACAACCACCAAATTTGCAGCTTTTTGGCTTCCAAGATGACCCTTGGCATCAGCTTTCACCTCAGCATACTCCCAACCAGGGTTATAGAGATTCCTGTGTCTATGACAAATGACAAAAAAGAAAAGGACAAGGAGAAATAGTGACTATCTCTGGGAGGAAAAGGATCAATAATCAATGGGTACTCAAACCAAATCCTAGAGTCGTTGACTCCAAGAATCTAGCTTCACCAATATTTTCACCTGCTAATCTAAACCAAGAAAATGAAAAAAACTACCACTCTTGCTTCCACTGGACCTTGAAGGCAGAGATCCAGGAGACTGACGTGGTAAGAACTCTTACCTCCTGCCGGCTCTTGTCAGGGGTCCAGGATCTCTCAGCTGAAGTAGGCCAGGAGCGAGCAGAGTCCAGTCAGTGAAATGTTATCCCATCCAAGTCGCCGAACTGTAGGGGAGGAAGACAATTACTTTACCCACTCTAGGTCCTTCTGGCTGACCTAAGAATTAAAGTGACATGAGACAGAATAACAAGAGAAAATCAAACAAAGCTTTCTAACATGTATACATGGGAGAAACCCAGGAAACTGGGTAACACGGCCACATGGCCAAAGAGCTTAGTTTAAATATCTTCAGCTAAAGACAAGGAGGATGTTGGGGGTAGTGATTTGGGATTTTAGAGAAGAGGAAGACAATTTACATGGAGATGGGAATGCAAATGTTTGTTAACAAGTTTTACTGCACCAAAAATGGGCTCGTTGGTGCCTTTCTATCACACCTATTTTACATCATACTGTAGCTATCTTATGGTGTTAGCTCCTTTCTGGAACAGACCTTCTACGTTAAATTCTTTTAGGTAGATTAGGGGAAGGTCAAACGTTCTTCCTGAGTCTTCTGAGGCTTTATTGTCTTCAGCTCGAAATAACTCACATACCAGGGTGGTGCGTCTTGAGGTGGCCTGCCCTGAACCCCATCAAAAGCATTTAACAAGACAAACTATCTGAAAGGGTATAATATAGAAGGAAGCTCTAACAGTCACAAAGTCTGTATACCAAATAACGTATCAACATTCATAAAGAGAAGACTAGGAAATGCAAGGAGAATTAGACAGATAGACATTAATATTGGAGATTTTATTTCACTTTTCTTTGATCAAGTGAACAAAAACTAAGTTAAGACACACACACACACACAACACACACAAAACCCCACTAAAACCTGAAAAATAAAATGCACGTCCTTTACAAACACTCATGGAACATTCACAAAAATCACTCATATATTTAGTCACAAAGCAAATTAATAAATTTATAAGTAAAACTCCAAAAAAGTAGATAGAAAAGACAACATTCTCTGAACAAAAACCAATAAAACTAGTAAGGAATAATATTATCTGGGAAGTAAAAACAGAAACTGCCAGTGAGAAATCAAAAAGCTCTCTCAAACACATCTTTGGTCAAAGAAGAAATCAAAACCAAAATTGCTGATTGCTGAAGAACGTATGAAAATCTATGAGCTAAAGCAGTGCTGAGATGGAAATTCATACTCAAATACAGTAATGAACAAGAAAGGGTAACAATGGATGAAGCAAGCATTCTTTGTAGACAGAATTCTAAAGGGCTCCCCAGGAGTCCCATCTTCTGGTTACTTAATCGAACACTAATCTACATACTACTATGAAAGGATTTTGCAGATGGAATTAAGGTTACTAATCAGCTGACTTTAAAATAGATAGATTATTCTGGATTATCCAGGTACGCCCGGTGTCATCACATAACATCTTAAAAGCAGAACGAAGGCAGAAGAGTTCATGAGAGAGATGGGGTAGAAGAAGAAGCAAAAGACATTAGAAGAGGAGGGCAGAGATATCTGAAGCATGAGAAAGGCTTGACCCATCATGGCCGGCTTTGAAGACGGAGTAGGGGGCCTTGAGTCAGGGCATATTAACTGCCTCAGGAAGCTGAGAACAAGCCCTGGCCAACAGCCAGCAAGGAAGCGGGAACCTCAGTCCTATAACCACCCAGAACTAAAATTGAATTCTGCCAACAAGGAATTCCGCCTTGTGGAACCCAGAGTTGAGAAATCAGCCAAGCCTACTGGACTTCTGACCTGCAGAACTGTGAGATAATAAATTTGTGTTGTTTTAAGCCACTAAGTTTGTGGCAATTTGCTATGGCAGCAACAGAAAATGAATACAGCACTTAACTTAAGAAGTTAGAAACAACTCAACCAAATAAAGTCAAGGAAAGCAGATACAAGGAATTAATAGAGTTAGGGATGGAAAATGATTAATTAGGAGACAAACAAAAAGTAGTCAATACATCTGAGAGCTAGCTGAACTGTAATGAGTCCTGCATAACCTGGCAGGGAGTCCAAAGTGTTTCCTCAATTTCGTGAGCCTCTACTGGGCCAATGGCCAAGGATGGGCAAGGCAGTAAAGGACAAAACACATATTCTTAAACAAGAAAATCTTTTATACAACAGGCAAGCTTAGCCACTTTTGTAATTGCTAAAGTATAATAAGCCCAAGTAGGAGATGAGCGCAGAAGCATTTTCTTTCTTTGCTGCAAGAAGAATTCTAAGTGCCATTTACTCTCTGCTGCTACGTGGTCTCTGTCTTTCTGAGCTGGGAGTATGGGCTCCAATCCTGTCAGGTTGATCTGCTTAACTGTCTTCTTTCTAGCTTTTCTATCTTCTACATTAAAACTTTTGTTTTTATCTGCCAGCCTCAAGAGCTTTCATTTGTTCTCACTGAAATTGTCCAACAGCATACTGATCATTTTGGGGGAAAAAAGCAATGAAAGAGTCAAAATGTTGGCTAATCTAATTTGACAAGATCTAACATTCATTTGTGATAAAAACTCTAAATAAAATGGGTATAGAAGGAAAGTATCTCAATATGATTAAGGGCATATATGACAAACCCACAGCCAACATCATATTCAGTGGGGAAAAACTGAAAGCCATCCCTCTGAGAACAGGAACAAGACAAGGGTGCCCACTCTCACCACTCCTATTCAACATAGTACTAGAGGTTTTGGCCAGAGCAATTAGGCAAGAAAAAGGAATAAAAGGAATCCAAATTGGAAAGGAAGAAGTGAAACTCTCACTGTTTGCAGATGACATGATTCTACATACAGAAAACCCTAAGGAATCCATCAGAAAACTATTAGAAATAATCAGTAACTACAGCAAAGTTGCAGGGTACAAAATCAACTCACATGACTTGCATTTCAGGGCCAGCCTGGTGGTGTAGCAATTAAGATTGCACGCTCCACTTCAGTGGCCCAGGGTTCACCAGTTCACATCCCAGGCACAGACCTACACACTGCTTATCAAGCCACGCTGTGGCAGACATCCCACATATAAAATAGAGGGAGATAGGGGCTGGTCTTGTGCCCAGGTGGTTAAGTTCACACGCTCCACTTCACCAGCCCAGGGTTTCACCAGTTCGAATCATGGGCACAGACCTAGCACTGCTCACCAAGCCATGCTGAGGCAACCTCCCACATAGCATTACCAGAAAGGGCCTACAACTAGAATATACAACTATGTACTGGGGGACTTTGGGGAGAAGAAAAAAATTTTTTTTTAAAGATTCTATTTTTTTCCTTTTTCTCCCCAAAGTCCCCAGGTACATAGTTGTACATTCTTAGTTGTGGGTCCTTCTAGTTGTGGCATGTGGGACGCCACCTCAGCGTAGCTCAATGGGTGGTGCCATGTCCACGCCCAGGATTTGAACCGACAAAACACTGGGCCACCTGCAACAGAGCACACGAACTTAACCACTGGGCCATGGGGCCGGCCCTGAGAAGAAAAAATTTTAAAAATAAAAAATAGAATAGAGGAAGATTGGCACAGATGTTAGCTCAGGGCTAATCTTCCTCAAAAAATAAAAAAACAATAGAGAAATACAACGGATTATAAGAGAATACTATGAAAAACTATATGCCAATAAAACAGATAATCTAGAGGAAATGGACAAATTCTTAGACTTTTACAACCTCCCAAAGCTGAATCAAGAAAAAACAAGGGCCGGCTCCGTGGCCGAGTGGTTAAGTCCGCGCGCTCCTGGGCGAGGACATGGCACCGCTCATTAGGCCACGTTGAGGCGCGGTCCCACATCCCACAACTAGAAGGACCTGCAACTAAGATATACAACTGTGTACGGGGGCGGGGGGCGGGGGGCGGTTTGGGGAGATAAAGCAGGAAAAACAAAAAAGAAGAAGAAACAAAGAATCTGAATAGACCAATCACAAGGAAAGAAATTGAAACAGGAATCAAAAGCGTCCCAAAGTATAAAACCCCAGGACCAGATGGCTTTCCTGGGGAATTCTACCAAACTTTCACAGAAGATTTAACACCTATTCTTCTCAAGCTATTCCAAAAAATTAGGGAAGATGGAACACTTCCTAACACATTCTACGAGGCCAACATCACACTGATACCAAACCCTGACAAGGACACCACGAAAAAGGAGAACTACAGGCCAATATCGCTGATGAACATAGGCGCAAAAATCCTCAACAAAATTTTGGCAACCCGAATGCAGCAATACATCAAAAGGATCATACATCATGATCAAGTGGGATTCATACCAGGGACACAGGGATGGTTCAACATCCACAAATCAATCAACATGATACACCACATCAACAAACTGAGGAATAAAAACCACAGGATCATCTCAATAGATGCAGAGAAAGCATTTGCCAAGATCCAATAGCCATTTATGATAAAAACTCTTAACAAACTGGGGATAGAAGGAAATTACCTCAACGTAATAAAGGCCATATATGACAAACCCATAGCCAACATCATATTCAATGGGCAAAAACTGAATGCCATCCCCCTGAGAACAAGAACAAGACAAGGATGTCCACTATTACCACTCTTATTCAACATAGTACTGGAGGTTTTGGCCAGAGCAATTAGGCAAGAGAAAGGAATAAAAGGAATCCAAATAGGGAGTGAAGAAGTGAAACTCTCTGTTTGTAGATGACATGATCTTATACATAGAACACCCCAAAGAATCCATCAGAAAACTAATAGAAATAATTAACAACTACAGTAAAGTTACAGGGTACAAAATCAACTTACAAAAATCAGTTGCTTTTCTATACTCTAATAACAAACTTACAGAAAGAGAACTCAAGAATACAATTCCATTTGCAATCGCAACTAAAAGAATAAAGTACCTAGGAAGAAATTTAACCAAGGAGGTGAAGGACTTATGCAAAGAAAACCATAAGACATTACTGAAAGAAATTGATAAAAACATAAACAGATGTAAAGAGATTCCATACACATGGATTGGAAGAATAAACATAGTTAAAATGTCCATACTACCCAAAGCAATCCACATATTCAGTGCAATTCCAATCAGAATCCCAATGACATTATTCATGGAAATAGAGCAAAGAATCCTAAAATTCATATGGGGCAAGC